CTTCACCGCACCAAGTCTCCAACCTACTAGAGGCGAGGACAAGACACAACACAAAAAAACTTTCGTAGCTACACACTGCCTGTCACTCCGCGCAATGGAAGATGAGAAACAGATGTGTAAAAAGCTGAAATGTGCGGAAGTTGATGAAGGAAACGGTCTCTGAGGACTTTGGTAATGTTGCTACGGGCTAGTGAAGGAAAGAGGAGATGGTTCGATTGTGCAACTGTACTATGCTGCAAGCAACCGGATAGGAATGCCACTTGTCATGTTGATGTTGATGTTTTTATGTCTTGTCGCTGAAATGTTTTTCTGAAGGAGAGCAAGCCCGGTCTATCACCAATGACGTTGGCTTTTTTGTCCTGTTCGATGGATGAGGCTGGATGGTTGGCAGGCGCGTGGCCGGCCGGCAACATTTGGGTCGCTCTTACCGGGTCGAAAAATAGAAAGTCGACTGAGTCGAACATTTGGTCAATTGAGTCGGCCGAAAAAGGAACATGTATTTTTATGTGTGGTCAACTGCGACATGATGCGACACGGAGCAACACAAAAATGTATACTAAATAAATAGCTTTAATTGTTGACACCCGAACACCAAATCCCACCGCACATCTCAGTTTTCACGTGCACACCTCGCAGTGGACCCCGCAAAGTAGTAAGCAAAGCAGCCCGGGGAAAAGAAGACGGGCCACTTTGTAGACAATATATTCTGCTACTTTTCCCTAGTTAATAGGCTTGCCCAGTCCAATGACAAGAGAGGCCCTAGTTGTTGTTGAAATGGCACTTCTAAAGAAATAAAATTTTCGAAGTTGGGATGGACTCACCCGAAAGGAGAGTCCACATGTCTCACGAACGTGTACCTTCACTTTAGATAACGAAACAACTTCAGATAACGATGTTGGGCAAAGTTGCGGTCGCTGTGACAGTGGCCTAAAATGGGTATACTCAAATACCCATTCTTCTCTATTATATATAATATGACCAACACCTATCATAATAATACACTGCGCATTCTACCAGTAACAGGTACTCGTACCACACTGTACAGATGGGCGGTCACAGCACATAAAACTACAGTACGAAGTACGAAGTATACGCACCGGTACGTGGACGTGTGTACCTACTATTTTATAATTCATCGTCATCGGACTTGCTATGATGATTCCGATTGGTCGAGACAGTTATTTCGTAAAATCAAATAAAACTGCACACAACGAAAATGATGCAAATAAAGGCACAATTCTCGACAATCATTTTGGGGACGCTTTCGTTTGCAGGATCGTCATATGTACTCTACCATGTAGCTCGCTCGTTTTACCAGTACGGTTGTGAAGGTACCTTGAATCTCGTAGGTTGTGCAATTTGAATACAACATTTTCATGTCATGGAACTGGTCTAATTGTTGATTGCGTATCACGTGGTATTCTTGTCTCAGATTTGGCTTGGGGACCCTTTTCCGAACTCACCAATTCTCGAATACTCGAAGTTAGTGGTCGTGACGGAGTCATCTCTCAAGAAAGAAGAAAATCTTCTTGATGAAATTGAGAGTGCCCGACAACGGGCAGAGGCTGAAGTACTAGACGGAGGTGATAAGAGCACCAAACGGAGCCTTTTACTTTTGTGGATGAGAAATTATCCTGAATTGGAAAAAGTCCTTGGCGAAATTAGCCACAAACTTGACAAGATTGCAGCTCGAGTAGACGGAATCCTCCTTTCAAATGTCGATTCCAGCGCTCGCAAGGTGCAGGAGTTGAGATCAAAGCGGAAAGAACTGTCGCGGAAAACAGTTGCGTGCATGGGACGTTGTGACGCCTTGATGACGCTGTTCAAGGTGCTGCGGGATGAAAAGTGAAAAGAATTGATGGAACTGTAGAGCCCTACTATCCAATATCCATTTGAAAAAGAAAAAAATCGTATCGAATGATTTAAAAGTGGTTGATTGTGATTTCAATCACCTGTATCATTGGCTTTGATCGTCCTTCCTTGCACATTGTTCTTAGCGTACAAATTAAAATCCCACAACAAACTTTGGTTTTTAGTATACTCTCGCTCGTCATAGCAGAATCACCTTTCGAAACGGATTGCAAGGGTGGAGCTTTCGCAGGAGCGATCCTCTATTTCCTTTTCCTTTTGACAATAGCGTATTGGGTTGCAAACAGCCACATAATACATAATGTTAATCAATCTCCTACGAAGGCCGAACGGCCTTTGACCGTCAAAAGTTGTTGTCGATGCGCCGAGGCAATGATGCCCAGTTTATCTACTGATATTGAATTCACCCACTTGTGTTGTGGTAATTCAATTTTTCTCTTGGTACCCAGCCTTTGTCTGCAAGCGAACGAAAAACTCGACCTCCTTCCATGCCGCCCTCATTCATTGCGATCGGCCAGCGTGACGTGCAGCGAACAACTTCCCAACATCCCTCCTATAAGAGCTGATCGGATTGTCTTGATCCTCTATTCGCCTTCCACCGCTCCGAGGCATTGTTGAAACAACAAAAACGTGTTCTGTGCCCCTGTCCTCATCCTTCAAAAAATAACACCCTTCCCCAAGTTACTTGGTCCTGAAAGTCCCCAGATGGGAACTCAGTTTCTCTCTTCTGTCAGCATCTGCTTTTCAGATGATTCAATTCACCAAGCGATCCATGACAAGAAGAGACCAAAGAAATCGGAAATTCAAGCGTCCTTTGGGTTTGCTGTTCCTACTGGTAAGCCCTATTCGGTCTATGGTCGGGGTCGCAAGGAATCAGTGACAGCAGAGACCATTTCTGCTGATGCTATCCGTTTTAATGCACCTCAGATGCTCGCTATAGACAAGTTGCGGCTCTTGAACTCGTCTCGCGTCAGAGCAGTCCTTGGAGTATTTTTTTACTCCGAATTCTCCTCCGGTTATTGGTTTTGGCGCTAGTCCTGTTAGGACTACTTTCAATGGGCAAGATGCTGTCCATCGCGGGGCCCCAAAGTGGTCTGATTGCTTTGAGCCCACTTTGATCCAGCAATACTGGCAAGGCGATATGAGTGTCCCTACTCATAGTCTGGTGGTTTCCCTCAGTGGGCGAACACGGTTGGAAATGCCAGCGTCGCAGCGGGATTTTGTTCAAGCGACAAAGCCTGCAATGCTGGTTGGGGACTTTTCCAAGGTCCTTCTGATTCCTGATGGATGCGGTGCCCCGGTGGGCCTTTATTAGCCAACTTCTATTTCTTTCGAGGACTTCAAGAATTCTTTGAGTGGACATGGTACTCCTTATGGGAGTTTCTTGGATTTGTTGCGGAGTCAGTCTTCTATTTTTGAAGACTGGTTTACAGCAGTGAATTCAAGTGCTGTGTCCTATCAATTACAAACTACTTCTGCAATGGATCTGTGGGCGACTTTGCCTTGTCCTTCCATCCTGCACGGGAATGGTCTATTGAACGTTGCTGCCGCCCAACCCCTACTAGAGCAATTTGCTCGCTACATAATGGGGATGGCTCTGGATTGTGCTCTCTTTGGCCCCTGTGATGTGGAAGATCGACAGGCTATCAGGCAACACTGTCAAGTTGGTGCATGGTTGGAACGTGCTCGGCAATGCTACCCGCCAGCACTGGGGTATCATGGTACGCCGGATCACTTTGCGTACCTATCTGTTCTCTGTCCTCCGGAGGATGGGTGGCCTTGGCCAGAATTTTCTACTTGGCTTTCTGATTTGCCTTTCGACACGCTACCTGATAGGTATCAGCGATTTGAACCAAAAGAGATCCCTGTAAAAGCTCGAGCAGTCTTTGTTCCAGCCATTCTTGTGGAAAAAGAGGACCCTGATAGCGATTTGGATGCTTACGCAAATGTGTTTGCCACGACTGCAACAACAGTTACGGCTACACCTAACATCGCTACAGTCCCAGCTCCAGCTCCAAATGTTGTTACTCCAAGTCCACCGAAAGAAGCTCCACTTCCACCGGTGCGGCAATTGGCCTCCCCACCTTCCGTTCCACAAGACGTCCTTGATGCCATGCAAAAAGTGAGCGCTTTCCAAGAACAAATTGTTCATGGTACATCTGCGGGCACACCTACTAATCCAGTTGACTTGGTTGCTGGTGATGTGGAGGAGTATGACATTCGCCCAAATGACTTGGCAACTAGGTTTGCTTCTTCGGCGAATGATTCTTTTACTGCAGCAGTCATGCAAGCTGGCAATATTGCTGATCGACGTCGCTCTAGTTTGGCACAAGGAAAATTTGGGGCTGGTCCACGAATGGGTTCGCTGGGCCTTGCTCCAATGCAGAACGACATGTTCAACCTGCAGACACTGGCGGCAGCGCTTGGAGTGCGACAGTCTTGTTTTGTTTCAGCTGATAAAGCGTCTCTTGCAAGTGTGCAGGCACGTCGGACCTGCAGCCCTTATTTCCTAAATGTTGCTCTGATTCTTGCAAGTTTCTTTCCCCAAGAGGAGCAACCCTATCTGTGTCTGTCTGATGATCGTGTGGTGGCTGCGACTGATTGGATGAAAGTTCCGGAACCAACGCAACTCGCCCGTGATCTCATTGCGGTATGGGACCATGGCCACAAGGAGGCAACGTCAGGTGTCACACGAACATTGCATTATGCACTTCGTTTTCGTGCGGATATTGCTACAGATTTTCAACAGATCCCGCTTCCATATGAAGCTGAATTTGACCTGCTAAATTTTGCAATGCATAAATCGATCTGTGATGTGGCAAGATGGAAGATGGGTCGGAAAGTACCACCACCCCCTGTCGGTGGTCCATCTTGGCACATCTTTCAATTGCTACCCAAGAAGACGCAACAATGGATCAGATTTATGGGGGGAATACGACGATTCCGTATTTCGGGCATCTTTGTTTGGCCAAAATCTGCTACATTTGCGCAAACTCCCTCAGCACACCGCCGTCGTTCGCTTATGGAGATGCCGTTCTCGCCAATGCACTCTCCAGTGGATGGAAGATCTATGTGCTTTGTTTGGGGAGGTTACTGCAATGGTACGTTATCGTTCAGGCGCGGCACCTACTACTTTTGGTCTTCAAGATGCTACGTTCCATGGCAAAGAAGATGTGGTGGCTGGCGCTTTTGTGGTGGCTCCAACTATGGTGGGACGCCACGAATTCACCAAAAAACCTCTTTGCTATTTGGACAAGTTCCAGCTGCTTTATGAACGCGTGGAGAGGAAGTGGGATCCTGCTGAGTTGGATGTGAACGGCCATACTTTGAAGGGTCTTGCTCGTGTGACAACGGAACAGGGATTTGTCAGTCCGGCGGCTTTGCGAAATCTAAAGGCGTGGGACGGGATCGTCTGCATGTTGATCTCGCCAATCCTTGATGGCATGCACCAGCTTATGCTGAAGCAAACTGGGCCCCAGTGGTCAAGTTTGTAAAATTGTACCAAGAGAAGGGCGTTCTTGGGCCCTCTGCTTGGTTCAAAGCACTGACACCAAGTGCAAAATGGGCTCCGTGAGACCCATTTTTTCCGGAAGGTGCACAACTTCTGGAAAAAGAATCTCTCACGGCGACATGCATTCCAATTCCATTGGATTGTCGTGTGAAGAGGATGTTTCGACAAAGGTTCCCATCAAAACGGACTCGGAATTTGACGAAAAGGAGGCAGAAGAAGGAGAGACGGAGGCGGCAAGTCCCTTGGCGGATGGACTGGTCATTGGTGGTAGACGGCGTTAGACCACCTTTGGATCGGCCACCCACAGCGTGGAATGACACTGTGGATTTTATGGATATTGCTGTCCATGTTCAAGCTAGTGGTTTTCTTGATGCTTGTACTATCCATACTTTGACTGTGGTGCACCGTCATCTTGCACCCCACTCTATGGTGTTGAATACTTGGATTGCATCTCCATGCAATCCCCTCAAGAAACGACTCTATGGTTTTGGCCGGGCTTCGAAAGACCGCGGTTTGAATCATGATGTGGTTAATCCACAGTCTATGATCCATTTTGCTTGGCCATATCTTTCCGCTAACAATCAACTTACGGCAATAAAGGCATCTCCTGTTTGGAAACAGTATGCAGAGTTGCGCCGTTTTGCATGTGGTACTTCTATCAGGGCATTGCAACTTTCGCATCTCTTGATGGCTGATGAAAAGGTTCCCACTACGTTGGATCCACATCGAGCATGGCTGAATTCAGCTGCGTTGCTACAATTTGATTTCAATCATGGTGATTTTGTTCGCTGGCTCGGTGGTGAATATACCAACAAAGGGCGTGACTTCAATATTAAATGGGATGTCATCGAATCCCATTTGAAGTCAAAGGTGCTCCCATCAGATCTTCCACCTACAAAATTGACATGGCGCATCGTATTCAAACTGAATGTGTTCCTCTCCGTGAACAATATATTACGCCTATGGAGGCAACACTTCTACAAAACAAATACAATAACCACCCAGCGGTGGGTGCTAACTTGGCCGCGGTTGAGAAAAAATTTGCAAAGGAGAAGTGGAACTCCTACCACATCCACTACCTGCAATTTGTCTACGAATTTCTCCCGGGCTTGGTCATCAATCCAATTCAGTGGGTCTTTGATAAAGGAAAGGGTCGAATCTGTATTGATTGCTCCAATGGTCCTAATTTGTTAGGTTCCGTCAATCTTTACATTCCATCTCTGAAAGATGCTATTCCCGGTGAGGAGGATGAATGCCCTGCATTGTACTACCAATATGCGTTTGATCGCTTCTTGCGTCGAATCCTCAGGATGCGCATCACTCGCCCAAATGATCCCATTATGGTCTATGCTGATGATATAGAAGCTGCGTTTCGATGAGTGCTCTATCATCCCGATATGGCGTCACTCCTAGATCAACCTTGTGGTAGGAAAGCAGATCTCAGTAATACCGCACACGGGATTTCTGAGATTGGTCAAACGAATCGAGTCTATTACTCGATCAGTTTGACCCGCTTCACACCACAACCCACCAGCTACACACCAAGACAAAAACACTACGAACACACACACGGAGGACGGCAGTAGGCTATCTTAGATAGTCACAAAAGTCAGGATTCAGAACCCCCTCAAAAAAAGCGCATTGCACCAAACATATCGACTCATGCGACTGCTCTTTTGCATAAAATTTGCTACGTGGAACACTGGTGAAAGCAGACGGCTTTCTTTTTTGTGCACTTATTCGAACCCAAATTTTGGTGCGGTTCCGAACCCTGACTTTTGTGACTATCTCAGATCACCATCGTCTTGCGGTCAACCCATACCGTCTGTTTGTCGAGCTTAAGGCAAGAGTATACTCTTGCTTAAGGGTCTCCCTTCACTCGTTCACGTGCGATAGACAGACAACTCAGAGCTGTAGCGTAGACAGGTCTGGTTACCTGAGATTGCGGATCACAAGACTGTCCAACTCTGATCTGCTTCAGGTACTGACTTAGTGTTGTTTGTCTGAAATGACAATACTTGATAGAATACAAATTGATTCAAAGAAATATTATGATGATTACATTTTGACTGAAGTGAAGGATGCACGAATAAATCCAGTATTGAAACGGAACTGCAATACTGGGCAAGACTCGGCAGGGCTTAGGTAAGCTAAGGCAGTAAGACCAAGAGTATCCTGGTAAGACTGACCCTTTTCCGAATAGCATAGTGGACAAATTATCAGCAGCCGGTCGGCAGACAGACTAGATTTGACTCTCCCTCACATCCGAAACTTCAACAAATTGCGTCAGCACGGAATGCCTTCTCAATTCAAATTTTAATCGGTATAAGTATACAATACCGATTCCAGAAAGTTTTATGTTGTCCGCACTTTCTACGAGTCGCGCCGTAAGAAAACCACGCAAAATTCGCAGCCCGTGTAGACTAACTACGGCGCGAAAACCGTTTGGTCTTGGGAAATTAATTCCCGGAAATGTAGTGTTAGCGGTTATAGACGGTGTAACATTTAGAAAAAGGGCCTTCGTATAACTATGATAACTGTGTTGCTACGTCTGTCTGTCTCCACGAGTGAATGCCATGGAATTTTCACAAGTCCGGAGAAAAATTACACGGACAAAAACCATATCCATCACTTAACCCATCCACGTTTTTGGACTTGGCCCTGATCAGGGCCGACTTCATTTAAAGTTTTTTTTTTCGTACAACAAATTATGTACCGCGCTTGCGTGGAACCACAAAACCAAAATCACAAAGTTTTCTAAAAACATGTATTGATGTAGTTACAAACGTATTCACGAGACCACGAAGATGTCAATGCGATAAGCTGCTAGTATACGAATCCATCAATTACGGATGTGATTTGTGCTGAATTTTAGGGACTCGGCCCTGATCAGGGCCGTCTGACCCCCGATGGGTTAATTAAAAAGACCATCTGGTTTTCAACAGCATTTTTGACACGATTGCGTCCATCAATTATTAAAAAATTGCACGGACAAAAACCATCTCCATCATTTTTGACAGCAGAGAAAAAACCATCTGGTTTTCT